TTGAACATAGGGTTGATTAGACTAAATTAGATTCTGGACACAGTTGTATTAACTAGATTACATATAAGGTTGTTTTTGTTCTTTTTCATTTATTTTTGTAATTTATGTTTAAAGAAGGAAATTATTTGAGTAAAAGTTTCTCGTGATGTTATCATCTATAACTTATTGATGAGTAGTAGTTACTAACAGAATGGCGGATACACCAAAATTTTAAAATATATTTATTCCTTTTATTTTCTGTTATTTATGCACGTTTTAAGGAATATTATCCAATAATTTTAAATTATACACATTCGTTATACTTTATGTTAAAAAATAATATCTTAAAATCTCACATTCTCATAAAACAAATAAATTATAAAATAATAATTTGAGTTATAAAGATGTGCGATCTCACCAAAATTTAAAAATTCTCGCCATAATTTAAAAAAAGTATCCACCATATTTTCAAAAATGAAGCTGTTATGGTGAATACTTATAATTTTCGGATAAGGATATTTCTAGAAAGTAATTTTCTTAAAAAATTAAAATTTTGGCAAAATAAATAAGGTAATATTATCTAGATGTTCATGTATTTTAATGTTTAAAATATTTTTTCTTTCCGAAAAAAAAACCAAAGAGCTTTAAATTTTGAAATATGATAATGTAAATAAATGCATTCCTTAACAGCACTAGTCTTACTATAATCCCGCAATTTGATCTCTTAATGTTTTGTTAATATTTTTTTAAAATTCACTAAAATTAGTAGCTAAAACGCCTCGTTAATTGCTGCCTTCTGGTGTAACGCGTCTGTAACTATCGTATGGTACACTGTTAGTCATTATTCGTTTATTGCAACGATTTACACCAGTTTACACTAGAAGATAGCACTTAACGAGACGTTTTAGCCACTAACTTTGGGGAATTTTAAAAAATCATTAACAAGACATTAAGGTCGTAAATTTGGAGATTATATTAAGAATAGTGCTGTTGAGGAATGCATTTAGTTTTATTATTATATATTTCAAAATTTAAACCCCTCTGATATTTTTTCTCGGAAACTGGAAGGAATGAAAACTTTAAAATATATGCATATAATAATAATAATAATAATACTCTCCCTAATTCACCCCCTTACGAGTGAATTTCAACCCATGAAGTCGACTGAACGACTTGTGTAGGGGAAGGGACGGCTATTATTATTATTTTCCGTGGCGCTCCGGGGCGACTTAAAGATGATTGATGGTGCCATTTGACTTACAGGTAAGGAAAACCCGGAAAACCTCACCCACCATCATCGAGACGGTAATGTATGGCGAATTTTTTTAATCTGCTTGTCATATCAACAGAAATTGAATTTCTATTAATACGCCACACATCAAATCCTAAACCGAACCATGCAATTTAATTAAAAATCCACATGGTCCGGTCTGGGACTCGAAACCCAGCAGTCTCAGACTCATAAACTTGCCTATAAATGAATATAAGCGCGATAGACCGCTACACCACCGTCCCGATTCTAGATATTATTGCCTTATTTATTTTGTCAAAATTTGAATACTTGAAAAAAATCACTTTTTGAGATATCCTTGTCCGAAAATTATAAGGGGTGCTGTATTCACCTTAAGAGCATATAGAACAATTTTATTACCTGCAAGAAAGACTTTAGCCAGGCATGATATTACTAATATTGGTCGGTAATTTGATTGGTGTTATTACTGCAGTTTCGAACTCTTGAGGGATACAAGAAGTTGTAAAAATTTAATAAATTAAATGAACTAGAGGGGAAGCAATACCAGGTGCAATAGGTTTTAAGATTTCAGATTTATTATCATCAATCCCTGCAGCTTTTTTAGACTTTCAAGATTTTATTAATTCAATAACTTCAGGTTCTGTAACAGCTGCTAGGAAAAATGATCTTTGACAATTTTTGCAGACTCGGGTACATTAGAGGGATAGGCTCGATTTCATTGTTCAGCTTTGCAAAAAGATATAAACAGTGTATTGGAATGGAGTGCTCAATGTAAATTAGACTTTAATATTAAAAAATGCAATGTAATGTCAATTACTCGACAAAAGGATCCAATTATTTTTGATTACTGTATGGTTAATGAGTCACTAAAACGGGTATATGAATTCAAAGACTTAGGAATTACGTATGACTATAAACTATCTTTTAAAAAACACATTGAAAATGTAGCAAAATCTGCAAATCGCGCTCTTGGATTTACGATACGACAGACGTCTCTTTTTGTCAAAATCGATTCTATAAAATTGATATATGTTACGTTAGTAAGATCTAAACTTGAATATGGCTCTGTAATATGGAATGGAGAATACCAAACCATTTTGCAGGAATTAAAAAGAATACAAAACAAATTTTTAAGATACCTTTACTTTAAAAAATACTTTATTAGACCAGATTATAATAGTGTCAGAACAACACAATTACGAAGTGAATTTAAAATACCTTCTTTAGACTGTAGGAGAAAAATGTTTGCTATACTTTTTTTGTATAAAATCATAAATAACCATATAAATTCCGCAGAAATATTGTCAGTTTTGCCATTTAATGTACCTCCTAGACCTACGCGTTCCGCGATTATGTTTAATATTCCCTTTGTAAGTAGCACTCTTCGATCACCTCTCCTAACCATGCTCCGTTTAGCAAATAATATTACTTGCTTGCACGAAGTAGATTGGCATATGCCTCTAATAACATTCAGACACCTAATTTATAGGTATATTGTGAACTTGTCTGTTTAATTATTTTAGTTTTTCCATTTCTTTTATTATATGATTTGCTTTTTATTTTTTAGAAATTTTTTTTCTCAATATGAGTTTGTGTTTAATCCCCCTATATCTATATATCGATTTATTTAATATGTATATTAATACGTTTTGATCAATTGTGTAAATAATAAATATTGTAAAGTCTATCCTTGTAATTTAGGCCAGTAAGCCTGTTAGGATGGAACAAATAAATAAATAAATAAATTAGCGTATCTCTCACCAACATTAATAAAAAAATTATTAAATTCATCTGGAATTTCTTTATCATTTGTGGTCAATATTAGAATTTTTAATTTCTTTTATTTTATTTTTTTCGTTTTGCACAGTATTTAACAGACTATCTTAATTAAGATAATTAACCTTTGATATTGGGGTGCCTGGATCACTTTTTGTTTCAAAATCTGTCGTGTTAATATCAGGTAAATCATGTGCTTTATAATATACACCATTTAAGTATATATTACTTCATAGATTATGTAATATTAATATTTAATTATTATGTACCGCTACCATTAAACCAAAATGGACAAATAAATCGTCAGATATGACTTGAAATAAATTAGTGGCAGTAGTGATTTTTAAATTGTTTAAAAATGTTTGTTATGTTAAAAATAAGGTAATGTTTATACTCTTTCATTAATTTTATTCTAAAACTTGGCAACACCACGTATTTATCATGACAGAGCATGAGAGAGATATGCTTTATTGTCGTAAAAAATTTACAAAAATTTTATAGACAAAGCGTGTAACTTAAATACTAAACATACTACATACTAAACATACATACTAAACATTACTAAACATGATAGATATAACTCTAATAAGTTTACATAAATGATCCTCATAAGCCGTTAATATATAATTTTTTGGGTTATGTGTATTCGGTTCAAAGTATCTAGAAACTTTCTGTAAACTAGCAATAGTAATACCTGCCGTTTGGATGTCGGTGTGTATTAACAAGGCTTAAGTATCGATAACTTTGTTAAAATTCCAACTCATTTTTAATATTGAGTATATCAAAAATATAGCCCTTTTATTTGAGAAATAATACACAACTTGGCAACAATGTACTTCTAAAAATATCGATTAATTTATAGAAATTTTAAGGATGGAACGACATTTTCAAAAGTGGCGTAGCTCAAGTACTACACTTTCGATGCAAAGGAAAATCTCGATGTGAAATCACCACCAAAACAAATTTACTGAATTAAATTAACCTAAAATATCATTACTAAAATATTAAAAAATAGGATTTCTTTTCAATGCCCTATATTCATGTCCTATATTCATGACTGTCATGTAAAAAGACAATTGGACACTTCTGTTAAATTAAACCAGAAAATAATTATTTCGCTAATTTTTCATAGCTTACATCTTTATATGCAAAAAACGGGGAGTGGATATGAAAGATCTAGATTCCTAAAGTCCATAATTTTTAAAGATGAATCCCAGAAAGATTTTGTAGAGACCACTGATGGAATAAAATTATTTATTTATTAAAAATGCTTCTAACAAATCACATTTTTGTTATAAAAGTATCAACCCAGGTAACCCAGGTTTTAACACCTGCCGGGATGCTTAAATATTTTATAAATAAAAAAAGCCAATTGACAAATCTTTTGAACGGGATTATTATTCTATTATAATTTTTATTCTTACTATATAGGTGACATATCCAAAGGGATTTAAATCTTTCAAATATTCCCTATTTTAAATAACCCGCAAATCTTATTTAAGTATATTAACTAGTCAAAAAGGCGTATATTTAAAATGTATAATATATTTCGAGGGCTTAGTGTCAAACAACACTAACTACAAAATTGTCATATTTCATAAATAGCGAAAAACTGTATCAGCTGATGTATCACTTGCTTTAGAAAATAAGTTACTAGGAATATGTTAACAAAAAAAAATCTAATTAAACTTTAACACTTTTAGAAGGTATAGATAGATTTTGGTAAGCTTTTTGTAATAAATACTCCCAATTAAAAAATAATGATTAATAAATGTGAAGATAACGTTGTTTGACATTTATCAATTTAGGTGCGAAAACGTTAATGTCCAAGAAGATATTTAGTAATTTATTTGATATAACGTTTATTTCCAGTGTTTTTAAGAAAATTATTGTTTAAAATTATATTTGAGAAGAATTTTTATTAATTTAATATTGCATTACAAAATATTAAAACTTACAAAAAATGGTGCGTTAAGACATATAATATTTTTATCTACAAATCTTCGTTGTCATCTTCATTCTGATGTCCTTCTTGAAGACTGTAGTAAAAAAAAAATGGTAAGGTTTTTTTTATGAAACCTTTTCGACACAGCTCGTGTAAGCCTGCCAACTTGTTCTTGTCAATAGGAATGGGACCATTATATTTTTGTTTAAGTTCCGCATTCTTAAGATCAAATAACCTACTTGGCCGTCTTTGTATTTTAAACTTGTGAAAATCTCTAGTATTAAAATCATACTTAAAATAAATATGATTAGTGTCATCTTTTCTGTACTGAAACCATACAATATTTAACCATCTTACGTTGTGTCCATCGCAATCAACCTTTCGATTTTTAACTATTTTGGCAGCAAATTCTTTGAAATTCAGAATGTCAATTTGACTGATTTCTGTTAAATCGTACTTCTTTTGCTTGGAAGTCATTCTTATGGCAGTATACCAGCCTGATGGACCATATATTTCCAAGTCCCTGCTTGAATTTTCGATATGAGCGTGAACCGAATCGCATTCCATTTGCGAATGGCCTGGTTCAAAGAATATATGATCGATTGTTGGAATTTTGAGAACCTCACCCGCGTACATAAACATTGCATAAACAATGACGTTCCTATTTTGTCCTCCACACGTATCAGACATAAAGCTAAAAGGTTTTCCATCATGTACTTAAACAGGCATGTACTTAAACAGGCAAGATGCCACCTCTGACGCCCCGCGTCCACATAATGCTTCATGCCATACATAATTTTCGGCCCTTCGAGATGTAACTTTATATACAGTTAGGTTTAAAACCGCAAACAGACTTTTGTAAAAAATTGCCTTTGTTTTTATTTGAGGACAGTATCGTACAGCTTCAAAATCAAATTCACAGAAATGAAGTTAATTTTTAATTGCTTTTTCTTTAAAAATATTCTTATATTCTCGTGCATTTTCTTTTCTTTGCAAGTGTTTTTCGTACTCTTTAGATCTCGTAATATTTTCTTTATCATTTGAATTCTTATAGATAAAACAGGTATCACATAAATCTTTCCTAGGAATATGGAACGCAATATTAAATTTAGTATTAAAAATTTGACGATAAAACCAAAGTTTTTCCAGTTTTAATTTTTCTTTACCGCATTTCTCTACATACATGTCGTACATTTTGGTAAGGTTAAGATCTCCTGGTAAGTATTCTTTTGAGCTGTCTTTTCTGGTATATTGTGAGGGAACTCTTTTAAAGGAATTAATATGGTCGCAAATAACTTTTTTTGAGTCTTCTGGTAACTTTATACCTGTAGTGTGCTTTCCTCTTTTATCTTTTTCTGCAATATTTTGGTCATTTCTTTTTCTAATGATATTTTGGACAACGGTATTAGAAATATTGTAGGTGGCTAAAAAAATCCTTGACAAACTTGTATCTTCTCTTGTTTTTTGCCTTCTCGAGCAGTTCGTGTAGAAGATTTTTCTTTTTCATCGATTAGGCCACTAAGATATTGTCTTTGTAGATCAATGTTACCCAATTTCCAGTACCCTTTATTTAGCACATTTTGTTCTTCTTCATCAAAGTTTGTGTAACATTTTCTTGGGCATTCTGAACAATCTTTTAAAAGGGGTCTTTCTGCGAGTATGATCTTGTTGCTGCTCATAGATTTGTATTCTTTTCCACATCATATGTTTAGCTTTAACTTATTTCGAGACCATTCTTCTGGTACAGCTATTTTTTTTCGTTTTACCTTTGTCTTCTCTTCAGTGTCATTACTGGCGTTAGTTGTTTTCATATCAATATTTTCTGGTACTTGTTCTACTTCGTCTGGCTCATAATTTGTAGTGACTGGAGTTAACACATGATAAGTTTCTTTACGTTTCCTTTTATTAGTTTTCAACTAAAATAACAATATATTTTTATTGTTAGGGCAGGTAATCAATTACCAAAAGCAAACTTACTCTTGGAATTAGTTCATCGCTAGAATTTTGTTCATCAGACGAAGAAGGTTCATAATAATTTGGATCAGCTACTGAGTCTTCTGAGGTATAATCTATGTTCTCGTCGATATAAAAGTAAATCTTTTAGTATTACCTTAATAATAAAAATTTTTTAATAAAAGTCTTAACAAGTAATTAAAATTATTATTAACTGTACCTGGGGTCTCCCAGTTGTCTGTAAAATATCATGATTGGGAGTGAAATTAATATTTGCAGATTTGCAGGATGTGTGTTCCACCATATCGTTAAAGTTTGAAACTGTATCGCAGTTCTACAAGAAAAAGGTACCTAATTTATATTTTAAATCATTACTTATAAACAACAAACTTCTATAATATTAAAAATATATGTAAGCTGTTTATCTGAATAAGACTTGCCTGCTGATTACTGTCGTGAAATTCATTGATAATATCAGAACTCTGGTCTCCAGTGCCTTTTAAGCCCAAGGTGCTTTTACCAGGAAAAATTTGAATACTACCACAGTTGTTTAAAGTGACACATGCCTCATCTGTAGTATAATATGTGAAGCAATCTGGTATTTCTGTTTCCTGTAAATAAATTTTATATAATATGTTATTACTGTCGGCCACAAAGAAGTGGCCACAAAGAAGTGGCCACAAAGAAGCGGCCGACCACAGTGTAATAATTAAATTGGGTAGTCCAACGAACTTGAAACTTCTAGGGAAAAAACCTCTCATTTTAAAAATAAGAAACCCGAGACTTGTTAAAGGATATTGATAAGTTTCTCTAGTGACGTACTACAAACAATTACTGTATGTTTGCTCCACAAATTTCAAACAATGCTTCAACAGTTTTTATTTTTAAAATTACATGCTTTTCCTTCTAAGGCTTCAAGTGACAATCCGTTGGAGTACATAATGAACTTAAAAAAATTAAGAAAATATAAAAATTAAGTAAATAAAAAAAGAGGGACCATCCAATAATATATGTTACATAAATTAATCCATAATATGTAAATCAGACAACAAAAAGCTGGTTTCACTGGGTAAAATTTTTTCTTTATCTAATACATGCTATGTTTATGTTTTTTTCTTAATTGTGTGTACTTAGTGTAAATAAATCATTATTAAAACCGGTTTAGAAATTAGAATCCCAATTTATATTAATTCGAAAATATGACTTTACAACAAAAAAAAATATTTTTAAAAACAGAATCATGCCTTGAAGTTAAATTTCAGATAATTGTTTTTTAATTGTATTCATAGGCTGCGAAATTGGATTTTAAAACACCGATTCTGATCAGTGAGCACTTAACGAGGCAATATTGGCGCGCAAAGTGTAATCCATGTGCGACCACGATGAATGGCATTTTTAATGATGAATACACGATGTACCCTCTTATTAAATCATATTATTATAATAACGAAACATCCTCTATAAAACCAACAAATAAAGACCTGCCAACCACACAACTTATATAATTTTACATTAATTTTTAGGTACTTACCAGATTCTTAGCTGTATTTTCACGAAAACTTTCATTATCATTCGGGATAACAATAGTGCAGTTTCTATTATCAGTAGATCGCGATGCACTATTATTTACATATAGAGTACATTTGTTTAATGCTGCCTGAAAAATTTTTTGATATCTCTTCATTTTTAATACCTTTACAGAATCAAAGTTTTAACATTAAAAAGCACTTACATAACCTCTACTAAATACATACCCTTCCAAAGACAAAAATCGACCGAAGGGCTTTAACTATTTCTTTAACTCCTACACAAAATTTTAAAGTAGAACGACGTTATTGACATACTAACGTGTAACTCCTAAGAGTCAAAGAACGTTAACAGCTCATAACGTACTTTGAGTCTTAATCAAACAGAAATAATAAAACACTAACTCTTTTAACGTTGTTTGTTATTAAGTGGGTAACCATAAATTGTAGTTAAAGTTTAGTCTATCTTAGATAGCAATTACAGGAGAGATAAGATTGTTTGTCACATAACAAATAAAGATTTTTTAAGTGAAAAAAAAAAAACGTTAAGCTAAAAAATGCAATTTTTGTAGTTAGTGTTGTTTGACACTAAGCCCTCGATTTATACTACTAGAGAGTAAACATTATTTTAATATCGAATAGGAAATAAAATTAAAAACCCTACTGTAGCTGCCTGTTTCTAACACAAAAAAATATTTAATACATATAAGAGGTATCCTATTGTATAATGTACAGATATATTCTAAATTTCGGTTTTGTATGTGTAAGTGTTAATTTTGTAACTAACTATATAACGCTTAATATTCCGTATCCTTCCGTATCCGTCCTTGCAGATAAGAAAAATTGTTTTATAAGAATGCAGAAGCGCATTTTTTACAAAACAAATAACTTAGAATTCCATTATATTCTTATTTAAAAATCTGCAGACTCTTTTAAAATGTAATATATTTCATCTAAAATTGTCTAAAAAAATTAATTCTTACCTCGGCACTTCTCACTTGCAAGATAGTTCCCGAAGGATATAGAACTTCGTACTTTTCAAAATCTGTTCTCACAGGAAGTAATTCTTTATTTTTAGTCCAACTATAAATGTACTTAATACCATCTTTGCTCTCTTCCGTCGTGAAACATTTAATTGTGAAGTTTTCGCCCTGGAATAAAATTAAACAATTGAAATATTTTAAAATTACACAGTGTCTGAAATAAAGCACGCTAATGTTTTATGTAAAATGTATTTGAAGTAATGTTAATTAAATTTTGCTCTTTGAAATATTCATTCGCGGTTGATAATTTAGTATTTTACTATTTGATTAACTTACATAGCCCAAAGGCTTAACGAGAAGTATTGTAATTTCATTCCACAATCATTATTTTTTTTACACAAGCCTCAATGTTTATTCTACTTAAATAATGAACCTCATATCAAATTAAATTTTGGTATCTTAACTACATTCAACAGAAAAAAATTGCGCCTATTTTGCGTTTATTACTATTTAAAAAATATTCCGAGAATGGTCTTAGCTAATATTATGTTTTATAAAATTTGTTAACATTATAATTTAGCTTTTATAAAATAAAAAATGTTTACTTAGGGATCTTTTCAGTAGTATTGTGAAGCTGTTATGTAAAGTAATAGCCCATATTATTCAAGTTAACTCAACTAATCTCTAGAGATATCTAGGATATTAGTACCTAACTTGAAGTCACTCCAAATCCAACACATCCTTGAGGATTGGAAGGTTGTTATAGGTTATTGTTGGGTATTTGATTCCGTTTTCTAATATTTAGTTGGCGAGTTCAAGATAATAAAAAAGTATTGAAAAATATCACTTTATTTTGATGTTGTGTTTACAATATCTTAATCTTGACTGACCATATTACCCAAACTGATAAAATCATTTCAAAAAGGTCCACACAACAGCAAGGGTGGTCAAGTTGTTTATTTAAAAATAAACACATGTTTTTAAATACTAGGAATTTAAACAGACATCGAGAAATTTCCTTGCTTCATTGGCAATAGAAGGGGACACAATAGACCTTTTAGGTCCCAGTAAATTAATACCCTATTGTAAATATAATATAGGGTATTAGTATTTTCGAACGACAAAGCTCTACCATAGAGAGCTCTAATTTACTGAAGAATTATGGTATTGGAAG